CCCCCCCCCCCCGCCATGATGATATTGATGATTGTTGCTATTACTTGTTCTTGTGGTTTTCTTCGCAAAATCTCCACAGGGGTTTTGCCATGGCTTTTCTGGGACTGAGAGAGAGTGCATGCATATTTTTTTTAATTTTTTATTTTTTTTAAAATTTATTTATTTATTTATTTATGGTGCTTTGCCCCCCCCCCCCCCCCCCCCCAATTGTCTGAGGGACAGCAACCTGGGCCCCAGCTCAAAAAGGTTGCCTACCCCTGTTATAACTTATTTATTTTTTCGGTTTTGTTTTAATTTACATTATAGGCTGCTTGGGTCCTGGACTAGGTGGAAGGTGGGATATAAATTAAATAGTAGAAATAAATAAATACTAGGATTTATTGTAAAATACATTTTGTAAAATCTGATTGCATGCAATGTACAGGAAAGAGGAACAGGAGAAAATCTAGTGGGTTGGATCCAGACCTAATCACAGGAGTACACCCATTAAACTCAGTAGGATGCAGCTAGCCATAACTAGCTTAAGGCCATTCTGCAGAGGCTTACTGTACTCTGAGGAAGTCTGCTATAACAGGACTGCTATACATTTAGAGTAAACTCATATAGTATAATTTAGTGCTTGGGATCATTACTTGTTTGGATCACAACTCCCAGAATCCCCCAGCCTCCATAATTAGTTCTGGCTGGAGGATTTTTTGAGTCATAGTAAAAAAAATTTAAAAAAAAATCTTACCCACGCTCTACCATAATTTATATTTGAGCAACCAATTCCATAGCTATTTGTATCCAGATTTATTTTAAACATTCCAGTGGGGCACTTTACAAAATTATGGTAAAATTATGCCTTGTCCTTCTTTCCTCCATTGTTTTCTAATAAAGTAGGAAATAGGCTCATGTTTACCAAGAAATAGTAATGTATGGATACATTTTGCTTTTTAAAAGGGAAAGATAAACATTTTTAAATACTGGTTGCTTATGCAAATTTATTGCTTGTAACAAGTTAACAATAGTTTACCTATGAGTTCTGCAGTACAGAACAGAAACAAAGTAAGAACTTTGATTGCATAACAAAACTAGATTGTGAATATCACATGTAATCCATGGTGGACAACAACTGTGTCCTCCAGATATGGGTAGCTAACACTCCAATTAGCTTTAGCCAGCATAAGCAGATAATAGGAATTGATGTCCAAAAACATTTTAGGGATGTCATTGTTGTTTATTGTGTGCCTTCAAGTCATCCATGGCTAAATCAGGATTCGAACCTTAGTCTCCAGAGTCGTAGTCCAGCGCTCAAACCAATATGTCACGTTGGCTCTGCCACCGTTATCCACCCTGTTATAATCCAGTTTCAGATTTTAAGGTATGAATGACTTGCATTTACCTCTTAGCAAATGAGATTTACTGAAACACACTTGTTCACACACAAGCCCCTTAAACTTGTTTTCAGTAAGTGTACATAACCCTGTGGATTTTTGAATACAAGAAGTGGTGGTGTAAAAAGCTCTAAGAAGTTTCAGCAAAGTAGTACTCAAAGTAGTACTTTGTTTATTGTATGTTTTATTGAAGGGGGGTTGATGTGATTTTGGAGTGAAAAAGACATTAAAAATAAAGTTTCAAAGTGAACTAGTTTCTTTATAGAATGTTAATGTCTCTGTTAGTCCACTGGAGTAAAATAAATAAAAACATCAATAGGATAATAGTGTTTTCTATGGCCATTGGACCTTAAAGCTAGGATCAGTCTTTGGTACCCTAAAGACACCAGATCCTGTCTTATTTTGGAAGCTAAGCAGAGTGAGCTCTGGTTAGTACTTGGATGGGAGACCACCAATTAATACCAGGTGCTGTAGGTTATATTTCAAAGAAAGGGACTGGGAAAACCATCTCCGAGTATTCCTTGCCTAAGAAAACTCTATGAAATTCATGGGGTCACCATAAGTCAGTGGGTGACTTGAAGGTGTGTGCACCCACACACACACTGACAAGAGTATATTTGGCTCACATAAACTGAACAAATTTTCTTCATTGGATCAGTATATCTTGAAGGCACACACATTCTTTTTCCTGTATGTGTTGTTTAAAGAGAATGGTTTCAGTTTGTTTGATGATAATGGTTTTATATACCCCTCTTATACATTACCTGGAGGAGGAGGCTAGCAAGCTGAGAGGTTATAAACAAATACTTCAATATATAATGAATAAATAAATGTTAAACAAAAAGAACAAAAAGCAGAGGGGGGGGGGTTAACAGAAGCATTGTAGAAAAAATCTGAAGTGGGGCCTAATTTCAGAACTTTAGAAAACATCATTTCAAAGTTGGCATGCAACCTTTCTCTCCATAACATGCAACATTGTATGAATGAGGGGAGACTGTGGAATGAATGTGAGAGGAGATCCATATTACAAGTTTGTTCTCTCCCCTACTTCCTAATGATTAGACCCTGTAGCATTTCTAAATAACTCCTGCAATGGTCTGCATTGTGAGCATGTAGGTCCCTTCCAAGCTGATTATTCTATGACAAGCCTACTTCAGTTAAGTCCCTGACAAGGAAGATCCTTTTTTTGTGGCCACTCAATTACTCTCTTTTCCTCCTCATCCTCTCTAGCTGGAAGCTTTTTAGCAACATGGGCATTAGGAGGATGGTGAGGGAGGGTTGGAAAAACATACTTTGGTATTCGGCTGTGGCACCATGTCTGCAGTAAACAATGCAATAGACTAGGGGTAGGCAACCTTTCCCCTTTAAGGGCTGAGGGACTTCAGCTCCCAGAAGCCTCAGCCATGTTGGCCAATAGTACCATGTTGGCCAATAGCTCCTGGGATTTTGGGAGCTGAAATCCCTCGGCCCTTAAAGGGGAAAGGTTGCCTACCCCTGCAATAGACTTTGGGTTTCTATTAATAAGAGGAACTTAGTAAAAATTAAAACCAGGAGAATTACCCCACAATCTCTAGCTCAGGGGTAGGCAACCTAAGGCCCGGGGGCCGGATGTGGC